GCATACACACATACACATGCATGCACACACACGCATGTATGCATACACATTTTGTTCATACATGTTCACACACACACACACACACACACACACACACACACACACACACACACACACACACACACACACACACACACACACACACGCACACACACAAAACATACAACTGTGCGCGTGTCAGGTGCTTGAGTCGCAGAATGGCAACGGGCGCTACGGTGTGGAGTGCGACTGGTGGTCCGTCGGCGTTTTCCTCTTCGAACTGCTCTTCATGTACGCGACGCGAAGTGATTGAACAGTGTGTTGCTGTGTGTGTGTGCGCGCGCTTGTTATGCAAGCATGCAAGCAAGCAAGCTATGGCGTGTCAAATGTGCTCGCTCGTGTGCCCGTCAATCACTCTTCCATGTTATGTTCACGACATCATTCGCTCGCTACACTTACCACCACCAACATTGTTCGTCACCATTCACCATTCACCATCATCACGACCACCATCACCTTCCCCACCACCACGACGATCAAAGGGACCCTCCGTTTTATGACGACACGCTCGTGGGCACATACGGCAAGATCCTCGGGCACGAGCCAGACAAACTTGAATTCCCGCCCGACGTGCCCGTGTCAGATGAGGTCGGTGGTGGTGGTGGTGGACGTGATGGTGGACGTGGTGGTTGGAACATGTGATTTGAGAGCGGCGTGCTTTGATGATGTGCATGTCATGTACAGCTGACGAAACAGTGGGATTCACAACACACACACACACACACACGTGCACACGCACGCACACACACACACACACACACACACACACACACACACACACACACACACACACACACACACACACACACACACACACACACACACACGCACACACACGCACGCACACACACACACGCACGCACACACGCACACACACACCCATGTCAGGCGAAGGATTTGCGGGCCATCCGATGTGAGCTTGAGCTGCTCAAGAACAGAGGAGAGGATTGGCCGCCAGGACTGGTAGAAGAACACGTGCACATCTCGCAGCAGTTGTTCCGCACCAACGACCTCGGCATGTTTCAGCCTGGTGTTGCAGCCAAACACACAAGGCAAAACAAAAAGCAAAACAAAACACGCAGGCACGTGTCAAGACAGGTGAGCAACATGAAACACTCTGCATGATGGTCAGTGGACATATTTGCGCATGTGTGCATGTCTGTGTACATTTGCGTCTGCACACACGTGCATGGTTTGTCTGTGCACAATTGCGTCTGCACACAAGTGCATGGTTGTTCCTTCCCAGCCTCCCTTCATTATCTGTCCCTTTCAGCGTGTCCACGCACCTGCTGCAGCACGCTGCGAGCACGTCACCGTCGTAGGCAGCAAGGGCGTCGTGCGAGATCCAGGGGAAGCGGGCGACGTTTGTGTATACAAAGTCCATTGTGCATGCAAGCAAGCTGAACATCTTTGAAATGTCACCCAGCAGCAGCGGCACCGCTGCCTTGCAGATGAGAAACAGCGTCCAAGCAAACTCCCGCGTCTGCAGTGTGTGTAGGAATACATGTGAAGAAGTGTGTGTTAGCGTGCATTGTTTTGTGCGTGTGAGCATATTGAGACTGGCACCAAGCAGCAGCAGCAGCAGCAGGAAAGGCACACACACAATCTCGCACGCACACACACGCACACGCACACACACACACATACAATCTCGCACGCACACACGCTCACACACTCTCTTGCACACTTTATCACACTCTCACACTCTCTTGCATACTTTCTCTCACTCCCATGCGCAATCACAAGGCAACACCCCAAATACCCTCTCCCTCTCCCTCCCCCCTAACAGTTCCAGCAGCGCACCAAAGCAATGGCTGCGGAAACGTCGACGTCGTAGTGGTCATCGAGCTGTGGCGATTGCAGCGCCGGCAGGAACACGTGCTCAAAGATGTCGTGGAAGTAGTGTGCACAGATCTTGGTGGCCTCCATGGTTTTCAGCTTTGTCTGCGCATGGAAGATGACGGTGTTCTCCTGCGCCGCGCGTCGCAGCTGTGGGATCTTGTCCAGATTCGCGCGCGCTGCAAACTCTTGCAGCTGGTGGTAGAACTGCTCTGGCCTGCCAGCCAGCCAGTGGTCATGGTGCAAGCAACCGGAGCCATGTGCGTCTTTATGTGTCAGCTGAATGTGTGGCGGGATGTGCAAGTTTGGCAGTGCAAGTGTGCCGATTCAGTGCCAGGCAGTGTCTCCATGGCTCACCTCATACATGCCAGCTGGAAGATGCCTTTGACGTGCACATGCGCACTCTTTGACTTGTCCGTCTGCCATAAGCGGTACACGTGTGTCACTTGTCAGCCCCCATGATGGCAACACGCAATCCAGGATCGGGTGCACCCTCCAAGACACGCCATAGCAGGCATGCAAGAGCAGACACGCCATCGCAGACACACATTTTCTCCCTCTCCCCCCCTCTCTCTGTCTCTGTCTCTCGCTGTCTCTCGCTGTCTCTCGCTGTCTCTCGCTGTCTCTCGCTGTCTCTCTCTGTCTCTCGCTGTCTCTCGCTGTCTCTCTTCCTCTCCCCTCTCCCCTCTTCCCTTCTCTCACAGCCACAGTATGGACGAACAAAACCACTTTGTGTGGACACACACTGCGCACCTGGAAATCTGGGTGAATGGCCAAGTACACGACGCAGGCGAACCACGGGTACAGGCTCTTCAGCTCATCGCGGGAGAAGCAGGTGCGCGACCGCAGCCAGATGTTGTAGGCTCGATCCACTGTGTTGTGGTCCAGGTTGAGCTGGGAACAGCACGCCCTGAACTTGGCGTATTCTTCCTTGTCCATCCTCCTCGGCGGTACACAAGCAAGATCTCACTGCCAGCAAGCAAGTAACCAACCCCACGCTCGCCAAATCCTGCCTGCAACAACAACCGGCAGTCACACTGATTTGATGACTGGTGGAAGGCAAAAGGAGAACCTGGCAGCACACGGCAGCACCACCACAGCCAACCAAGCACACGAGAACGAAGGCAGCCTCACCCACTTGGTTGGCAGTGCAAAGAGCAGCCAGCGGCACAGAGCAAGACGCAGGAGGGTGCAGCGTGTATTGATTGGTGGTGGTGTTTGGCTTTGTGTTTGAATTTGAGTTTGGCGGCGAAATTTTGATTTGCGGCCTGAAATTGGCGGATTGTGTGTTTTGAATAGTTGCCGTATCTTTCGCAAATCATCTTGCAGGCAAAGGAGGCAGCGAAGAAGAAGACGAAAAGAAGAAACGGATACGGAAGGTGCGACGAGCACCTTTGCTTTGTTTGGTTGGAGGACACGAAGGAAGAGCAGAGCCAAGAAGAGCGGCCCAGCGACGGGATTCGCAGCAACACGGACCAGCACAGCCTTAGCTGAACGAAAGGCGGGGGAGGAAGGAAGGAAAGAAGGAAGGAAGGAAGGAGGATAACTACAACCAATCATGGCGGCTCAACGCAACAAGTTGGGCAGCCTGATTGCAGATACCCGATCTGCACTCGCAGCAGATGCACTCATGGTGTGTATGACTGTGTGGTGTGTGTGTGTGTGTGACTGTCGGATATGTGGAGTGCGTGGAGTGTCTGCTTGCTTCTGTGCGTGTGCGTCGATATGCCCGACACATACTCTCTCTCACACACACACACACACACACACACGCACGCACATGCAATTGGTAGGACTCGCTTGTGGCGCTTGGATTGGAGTGCAAGGCTGCGCACCTGCGGCGCCTGAAGAACGTTGAGCGGTTCTCCCAGCGATGTATGCGCAGCCTTTCACCTGATCCTAATGTCTCCTGTGTAATCTGGTTGTCCCCACACACTCACGCGTACACTCACACTCACACTCACACTCACTCACTCACTCACACTCACACGCATCACGCGTACACTCACACTCATACTCACACTGACACACACTGACATGTGTGTATGATGGCGCTTGGTAGATGAGGACGCGATTGGGCAGATCAAGGACCTGCGCCCGAAGCGGTCCGACTTTGAGATGCTGAAGGTGATCGGGCGCGGCGCATATGGCGAGGTGCAGCTCGTGCGACACAAGGAGACCCACGAACTCTTCGCCCTCAAGACCCTCAGCAAATGCGAAATGCTGAAGAAGTGAGTCGCGTGTGCGTTTGTGCGTGTGTAGTGTGCATGCGTGGGTGTATGTGTCTGAGTGCGTGTGTACGTGCGTGTACGTGTGCGTGTACGTGTGTGGGTACTTGCGTGTGTACGTGCGTGTGTACGTGTGCGCGGTTTCGTGCCAGCCCAAACATGGCAGCCTCGCAGCACTTGTGCAGCTGTGCTCATGTGTGCATGTGGCACGTGTTGCCAGGACGGATTCTGCGTTTTACTGGGAGGAGCGGGACATCATGTCGCACTCCAACAGCCCCTGGATTGTGCAGCTCCACTTTGCGTTCCAGGACGACAACCACCTCTACATGGCCATGGACTACATGGCGGGTGCGTGAGGCGCACTTGTGAGCATCGGGCGGTCTGATGGGGGAATAGAAGGGGAGAGGGGTTCATGGGCTGCTGGTCCGTCCGTGTGTGTGTATGTTTGTGTGTGTGTGTGTGTTGTGCTGTGTGTGTGTTGTGTGTGTTGTGTGTGTGTTGTGTGCACGTCAAGCTTGGCTGCGGGTTGCATCGAAACTTGTACATCTGTTGTCCCACCAATGGTTGATGGCCATGTGACACCACCATGCCACGTCTCCGACCGCCAACAGGAGGCGATCTTGTCACGTTGCAAGAGAAGATGGACTTCCCCGAACACTGGGCCAAGTACGTCGCGTGGCGTCACAGAGCGTGTGTGTGCGTGCGTGTGCGTGTGCGTGCGTGTGCGTGGGCGTGTGCGTGCGTGTGCGTGGGCGTGGGCTTACATGTGTGCACTCATGTGTGTGCAATCTCTCGTCTGAAACACGTTCCACGATGCCATGCCGCCTTTCATCACTCCACATCACCCGCATCACCCGCCCCACGCAGGTTCTACACTGCCGAGCTCGTGCTGGCGCTGGAGGACCTGCACGGTATGGGGTATGTACACCGCGATGTCAAACCAGACAACGTGCTCCTCGACGCTCGCGGCCACCTCAAGGTCTGCGCATGTGCACCAGTGTGCATGCGTGTGTGCGTGTGTCCATGTGCGTGCATACGTGTGCGCGTGTTTATTGTCTTCTCGGTGTGTGCATTGGTTCTTTTCGCGGCGCCAGGTGATTGTTGCTGGGCATGTTTTCGTGGTCTCACCTTCCCCTCATTGCCTGCATGCATGAACTTGCGTGCGTTTGTTCTGCGTGCCAGCTGGCGGATTTCGGGACATGTGTGCGCGTGGACGATGATGCGATGGTGAACAACCCTGGCGCCGCTGTCGGCACTCCAGACTACATCTCCCCAGAGGTGCGCCGGGAAACGTGAACGAGGCATTTTGTGATGCGTGAATGGATGTGGCGTGTCAGCTGTTGTTGCCATTCTCTGTTCATTGTGTGTATGCATACACACATACACATGCATGCACACACACGCATGTATGCATACACATTTGTTCATACATGTTCACACACACACACACACACACACACACACACACACACACACACACACACACACACACACACACACACACACACACACACACGCACACACACAAAACATACAACTGTGCGCGTGTCAGGTGTTATTCATGTGTTGTCTACCTGCGCGTGCACTCGGAACACAACGTGCCTGCAAGCAGAAATCGTCGCAAAAACCAGACGTGTTTACGGAGGACCGCTCCTTCTCCGGAAATCAGCTCCCCTTCATCGGCTTCACCTTCCACAGGGAAGGACTTGGCCTCGCTGGTCCAGAGACGCAAAGCGGTGAGCTCGTCTGCTCTTTGCGCCACGCCTGTACATGTGTGGTTTCGCTTGTACATGCGTGTTTGCATGCATTGTATGTATGTGTATGTGTATGCGTGTGTGTGTGTGTGCATAGGCGACGAACCTGCTCTAGCCTCCTGCTTAACCCCCATGTCAGCATCTATGCTTACAACGCACCTCCACTGTTTCATGGACAACAGCCGGTGCATTCATGCTCACGTCAGACCAAGAGGACGTTGGTGTCGCCTCTCTCAAGGTGTGTATGCACGCGCACACGCACACACATACGCACACCCGCCCACCAGCCACCCATTGCTGCCACTGCGTGCTGGCTGTATCCTGCCGCTGTTCAGCCACCCACCCATGCCCTACGCCAACAACCCCCCCCATCCCCAATCCCCAATCCCACATGCCACGTCGACCTGACACCCACCTGGTTCCTCGTTCGTGCGGTTCAGGCGGCGAACGATCGCCTGCAGGAGACGGTGGGGCGGTTGAAGCAAGAGGTGCAGTCGCTCACACAGCAGAACAAAGCCGAGACAGCAGCCAAAGCACAGGCGCTCAAGGAGGTCGCAAACCTGAAGGAAACCATCGCGTGAGTGTATGTGTTTGTGTTTGTGTGTGTGTGAGTGTGAGTGTGAGTGAGGGAGGGAGTGTGTGAGTGAGTGTGTAAGTGGGAGGCTGTGTGTGGGTTGGAGGCTGTGTGTGAGTGAGTGCGCGAGTGAGTTTCAGCAGCTGTGGCTTTCTGTTTGCCCATGTGTGAAGGTGCAATTTGCAATGCATGCGAACTCATTCACGAATTTCATGGCCTCACATCAACTGCATCAAACACGTGCATGCCTGCATGCATGCACGTGTGCGCGTGTGTTCAGGGCAAACGCGACAAAAATGACGAGTGAGGTGGAGAAGAAATACGCCGTTGCCCAGCTCGAAATGGAGGAGCTCAACGCAAAACTCGCAAAGGTGCAAAGAAGGATGTGGCTGTATCATGTTCTTCGTGTGTTCGTGCTTGTATTTATGGTGCTGTGTGCTCTCCCGCGAGCCGCACCCAGCAACCACCGCCAACATACACGCACACCACACGATACATACATACACGCACGCATATTCATCCTCACACACGCACACCACACGACGCACATTCGCCCACTAAACACGTTGTTCTCCCCTCTCCCCGTATCTGCCGTGAAAGGCTGAGGAAGCGCGTGCGCGTGTGCAGACGGCGATGGAGGAGACGAAAGAAACGCTGGCGGAGACGAAGGAAGAGAACAGCACTCTCTCCGCGCGCATTGCTCGCCTCCAAGCCGTACGTGGTGGTGATGATAGTGGTGGTGGGTGAGAGAGAGTGTGTGTGCATGTGTGAGGTGTGTGTGTGTGTGCATGTGTGAGGTGTGCATGTGTGAGGTGTGCATGTGTGGGTGTGCATGTGTGGGTGTGCATGTGTGTGCGTGCATGTGTGTGCGTGCGTAGCCGGGTGTATGTGTCCTTTGTCGTGTATTCGTGGGAACGAACATGCGTGACGCATCTGATTTGGAGTCGCATGCTGTGTTGGTGGTGCTGTTAGGACTTGACTGCAGCAAACGAGCAGAAGAATGCGCTGCTTTCCCAAATTGGAAAGAGTCCACGGAGGAGCGAAAGCATTGCGGTGGATTCCGATTCCGCTGCTTTGGAGCAGAAGCTCAAGGCCGCAAACAGAGCGAGACAGTGCGTCATTGTTTGTTCTTTTGCATGCGTGTGTGTATGTTTGTATGGACGTATTTGTTCTTGTGTGTGTATGTGCGTGCATGCGTGGGGGGGGGCAGCCATGACTGTGTAGGTATTTGCGAGCTTCACTCTTCTTACTCGCTAATCAATGAGCCCACGCCCCGTTTCCACGTGTGCCATGTGGTCGTGCGTACGTGCTCGTGCGCACAGAACACTCAAGTCCCAGATTGAGGAGTTGGAGATGCAGTTGTCGACGGCAGAACGAAACGCGCGACGCGAGAAGAAGAAGTCCGCACAGGTGATTTCGAGCTGCAACACGTTCGCTTTGAGCCAACCCCTAACCCCCCTCATACATACACACACACGCACGCACGCATATACACTTACACACACAAACATACCACAGCACAGTCTCACACTCTCCCTCACACAATCTCAAATCTTCGCACTCTTGTACCTATTTACGCTCACCCACGTTCACACCCCGCCTCCCCCAAACAAACAAACAAACACACACACACACACACACACACACAAACAAACAAACACACACACACACACACACACACACACACACACACACACACACACCTACCTCCGGGCGTGCACATCTGCAGCTGCAGGATGAGGTTGAGGAGCTGCGCGGGGATTTGGCGGCGGCGAAGAGCGAGACGGCGGCGGCGGTGGCGAAACAGCGCGAACTCGAGCACCAACAAGACATCATCGCAGACGCAGCGCAGCAGTACGTGTTGCTGGGCATGCACGCGTGTGCATGTGTGGTTACGTGGACATGATGTGTGCGTGTGTGTGATGTGTATGTGTGTGTGTGCTTGGGTGTGGGTACACTTGCATTCATATGTTGGTGAATCAGCTGAGTGTGAGACAAGTGCGTGCATTTGCCATTGGTCCCACCTCACCCAACGGCATGCGTGTATCCATACACCGCTTTGGCTTGGTCGCGTTCAGGAAAGATTCGCAGCTGCGCGAATTGAGGAAGAAGTGCGCGCAATACGAAGTGGACGTGCAGGAGGTGGGTTGTCATCGTTGCTGTTGTTGTTTAAGTTGTTGTTTAAGTTGTTGTTGTTTAAGTTGTTGTTGTTGTTGTTTAAGTTGTTGTTGTTGTTGTTGTTGTTGTTGTTGTTGTTGCAAACGCTGCTGCTTTGCTTGCGTGCAAGCACGCCTCCTTTTCACCTCTTGTGCTTTGTGTCCTTGTTGAATGAATGACTGTTGATGTCTCACCCACTCATCGCCTCCATCACCCACGCATCATCGGCAGCTTCGGTCGACAATCGACAAGGAGGTTGCGCTCAGAGCAAAGCTTTCATCCGTGGAATCAGCGCCGTACGTGTCGTGACGTGCGTGTGTGCGTGTGCGTGCTGGCATGTTTTGACTGACGTATGTATCTGCTGTACACACCGCCGTCTCGCTCATCGTGAGCTTTACATACTCGCGCATCCACATGTTCATTCTCGTGCACGAATGCATGTTTGTGTTCAGGCCTGTGTCTCCGCCCAGTGACGACAAGACGGCCAAACAGCTGGAGAAAATCAAGTCAGACTTGAAAACGTCGCGCGCTTCAGAGGCAACGCTTCTCACACGTACGCAATCAATCCGTCGCACATGTGTGCATGAATGCCCGCGTGCTCTTGTGTGCATGAATGCTCGCTTCGATGCGTGCTTGCTCACACGTGGCACGTAATCTCATCCACGATACATCCCTCCACCATCCACCAACCCTCCACCATCCACTGTACCTCCACCTATCCACCCGTCTATCCCCCACCAACGCCCCCCACAAACCCATCACCACCACCACACCATCGCCTCCAATTGCTGCAGAGGTGGAGGAGCTTGAGGATGAGGTGGTGCGGCTGCGCGGCGCCAACACCAAACTCGCTGCCAGCGCCCGTCTACTCGAGGACCAGCTCGCTGATATCGACAGCACGGTGCGACACGAACTACAGCTGGTGACGTGGTGGTGGTGGTGGTGGTGATGGTGAGGAAGGGGCGTGTATTTGTGCTTTCTGTATTCTTTTGTGTGTGTGTATGTATGTGTGTGTGTGGTTGTGGGAGGGTGTGTATGTGTGGGTGTGGTTGTGGGAGGGTGTGTATGTGTGGGTGCGTGCGTGCGTGTGCATTCTTTCACGTTCATGTGCGCGTGCGTGTGTGCGTGTGCGTGTGTGTGTTCAGAGCTTGCGTGCGCTGGAGTCGCAGGTGTCTTCGCTTAAGTCGGACAATGAAGCGTTGACAAGTGACGTGGACGATCTGAAGGAGACGCTACAGCAGCGCGAGAAATCGCTCGCAGCAGCAAAGCAACAGCTCCGTACGTGCACCTTGTTTTGGATGGGGGCGGGTTGTTGTTGTTGTTTAAGTTGTTGCTGCACACCTTACACGTGGATTGATCGTTTGAGCGCTGCAATTGCCCTTCGCCTTTCCCTCACCCTTGACACGTCA